AGGTCCCTTCCGACCCTAGAAACTATGAAACTATGAAACATTCTTCGGTCTCACTCTGCGCCCTCTCTGGTGCTCGGGCTCTCCGCAGGCCTGTCTCGCACTGCACCTCACTGGTGCTGGGGTCAGTGCACCCCAACTGCTGTGTCCTCTCTGGCACTGGGGTCCCCACACTGCCAGGGGTCCCCTAGAGGCCTCCTCCATCCCCTAATAGCCTCACCCAAACCACCGGTCTGTCTTAAAAAGCAAACAAAACAAGCCCCTGGGCTATAAATTCAAGCCAACCGGCTACAACATCATTCAACCCCCCCCAGGGGTATTCCAGCCCTCGTCAATGTCAGAGGCTGTACCTGCAGTCAGGCCTCTCCCTCTTGCTTGCTCTGGGGGAGCTCCTTACCCCTTGGCTGCTGGCAGGGAGCTCCCCTCCTGGCCTCAGGCCTGTAGTTTATATGGGCCTAGGGCCCTGCCTCTTCCAGCCAGCTGACCACGTGCAGGTGCAGCCAATTCCCTCAGTAACTAGTTGTCCCAGCAACCTGCACCTGGGTTCTCATCTCTACTCCAACAGTAGCAGGCACCTTAGTGCCCTGCTACACAGACACTACTTATTTTTTCCTTCTCTTTCTCCCTCCTCATTCTCCTAAGCCAGGCTTGTCCAACATACAGCCCGTCATGTGGCTCGCCAAGCCATTTTCTGAGGCCCAAGGTGCTGTGATGGGAAATGGAAGTAAACACTGTTTACTTTTGTTCCCACCCCTTGTCCCTCCCCCAGCCCCCCAGCAGACTCCTAATGGCTGCTGAAGGGCTAGGGAAGGGACAAGGTTCCCACATACACCATGTCAGCTTGACAATGCTGATGCAGTGTGTGTGGGAAGAGGAGTAGCTGTGTGCCACTCGGGACAGGATGAGCCCAGCTGGAGCAGCTGGGGCTCAACTGCACTTTCCCCCTACCTGCGCTGCTCAGTCCCGAGCAGCACACGGCTCCGCCGCCACTTCTGCTGGCTGGTGTTGACCCGGGTGGGTCTGTCCCATCCAGAGCAACATGTAGCTGAAGTCAGATTTCTACATGCTACTGGGGGCGGGAGGAGCCCGGCCAGTTCAGCACCGGCCAGAAGCAGCGGTGGAGCCATGTGCTGCTTGGGACTGACTGATGCAGGTAAGGGGAAAATGCAGTTCAGCCCCTGTCACTCCGACCAGGCTCGTCCCATCCTGAGTGGTAAACAGCTCTACCACCATTTCTGCTGGCTGGTGCAGACCCGGCCGGGCTCCTCCCGTCCGCAGCAGCACCTGAGAAGCCAGATTCAGCTACATGCTGCTCTGGATGGGACGGACCCAGCCGGGTCAGCACTGGCCAGGAAAAGTGGCATGCAGCTGAATCCTCTACTGTCATGAGACTTAGGAAAGCAAGAAGACATGACAGCAACATGTAAGCAGAGACAGTGCAGGGCCTTTGAGCCATGTTAATAAGTGAGGACAACTGTGTTCCCACTCTGGTCTGTGACTAATTGTGGGTACATCTTCACTAGCTTCAAGCCACTCAAACCTGCTGCCAAAAAATAAGCCCTTCCTACCCACTTACACTTTACCTGCTTTGAACTGGAAACGAGGCAGTGAGGGCCCTTCTAGGGTGGTCCAAGGACAGTAGCAGCAGATCATACACAGAGAGTGAGAGATGTTCCCATAATGTTCTCACCACCACATTTCTTCTGAAAAGCAGGGATATCCCGAGGTTCATTTAATGTTTGTAAAATGCTTGGAGAGCCCCACATAGATGCACTGCATAGAAACGCAAACTATATTTTGACTTATTTGGTTGGTACCTTGGGCTGAGATTTTCAAAGCTGAGTCCAAAGGCTGTCTTCTGTTAAAATGAATGGGATTTAGAGGGCTCCAAATCTTGTATGACAACTTTGTAACATACCTTTCTACCCCTTTTTGCAAATCTCAGCCATAGTTTGGAAGCTCAGCCAAAGAACATAAGAGCATAAAAAGTGCCATGCTTGGTCAGCCCAATGGTCCATCTAGCTCAGTATCCTGTCCTGAACAGTGGCAGAGGTGGATGCTATAGAGGGAGAGTTTTGAACTGGTTAGACCCATTTCATTGTCACTTCCTGCAACTTCATTGGTGTCAAAGGTCACATGACATCATTTCCTGATGTGATACTGCTTCCTGTGAGGTCTTTGAATATGGCTTGCCAGCCCACTGGGTGATAAAAAGTTCATGATCTGGCCCCACAAAGGTTGGACACCCCTGTCCTAAGCAAATGCAGCTTAGCAGATGTAAGCTCTTTTCCCTTTTCCCTGGCCTGGGGTGCAGCCTGGTCCTCCTCTCTAAAAGGTTTACCGCTACTAGTCTACGTTAAGGCAAAGATGACTGGCAGACACTATACAGGAGTTTAGACCACTGGTGCTCAACTTTTCAGCCCATCACGATCAGTCTGCAGGCTGGATCCAGCATGGGGTCAGTCCACAGGTATGATCTGGCATGCCAGCATGATCCCCATTCTGGTGTGATCCAGTACATGAGGCCACATTAATCAACCTGCAGGGCTCCCCATGGACTCAATGTATGGAAAAGCAGGAGTGGTGCTGCCACTGTTCTCCCACCATCAGATTTCCGGACCCCTGGGGAGTACCACAGGCTGTATGACAGTCCCAGGGGTTGCACTTAGCCTGTGGGCTGGAGGTTGAGCAGCAATGATATAGATTGACAGTGAGACTGTGGAGTTGCTTGGGTGATAAAGCAAATAATTACATTTAAGCTTCTGCTATAAAACTGCATGTCCCATGTATGTGCACATATTGACTGTATTCCATTCAATACCATTACAGGGGTGCACCACTCATGATTTAAGTGAGCTGCATAAGTTGCTCATGTGTTCAAAGAGTCAGGTTTTCTAATCCTGCATAGATATGGCCTTGAGTGCCTTCTCTTACCGATTCCCTGCTCTCCCAAAGAAAACAGGATAGGGCCAGGTGTTGGGAAGGACCTCCTAAAAATTCTCCAGGCTTGATGCATGAAACTCCAGTAACCCCCTAGTACCATGCTAATGTATTGACTCGAGCAGAGGATGGGGGAAAAAAGCTTTAATTTCTCCCTTTCATACATCTCCTAGAATCTTTTATCTAATCAGACTCAACTTCACTTGAGCTCTTATGGAATCACATTATGAAATAATAACGTCATGGGCTGCAGAATGGGGAAAGATTTGATGTGGCCCAGGACCAGGTCACATGAATTAGGCCCATTCTTCTAAAGAGAGTACAAATGAGACAAACTACCTGAAACGAATTTAGTCAACAAAATAAGTGAAGGAGAAGCAATCCAAGCCTCCTGTCTCTGTTCCCTACCAGCATGCATGTCTGAGATGGCAGAGCTCAATCACTAGCCAATAAGGCCTTTACACAATGCAACAATCCTAACTCTAGCAGTGAAGTGATATGCCATGACCTGCATTGGCTCCTTATATGATTATCTAGTCAGTCTTCATCTCTGACTTCCATTTCTTGTCATTTGTAACAGGAGCTTTCCCTTTGAAAGAAGTCATGTTCTTAACTACCCCAAATCTGCACAAATTTTTGAATCATCTGAGAGATGAAAAGGGAGTTCCTTCAGGGAAAGGGATGGGCAGCCTGTTAGTTGGGTCACTGCAAGCTGTGCTGAGGAAAGCTCTAGTATATTTACCACAGGAAGCCACCTTGCACTGTCCAGATGGGAACTTTTTCAACTCTGTCTACAATGCTATAAAAGCTTTTCATGTGCTAACAATGAACAAGCCTGGAGAAGAAATAAATAAAAAAAAACAACAGCCAAATGCTGTTTTGGTTTAGGGAAGGCAAAATACGTGAACAAAGGAAGACAAGATGAGACACTTACTGTATCAAGTATCTCTTTGGTATGAGCTGCAGACACGCAGAATCTGGCTCTGGATTCAATGATTGGGGTTGCAGGAAAACCCACAACCACAACACCTATATTCCGCTTCAGCATCTCGCGTCCAAATGCACTACAAAAGAAAACAATGGAGAATGTTTATAGTGGTACCAAAGACACACAGGCACAGTAGCAGTAAAGGTCTTTGTACACTAAGCCCCACAGGCCTTCAGTGAAGTTTGCCTGCAAGACTGCAGTTCTGAGTCCCCACTGCCTTCTACAAGGTGGAATGCCTGCTCACAAAGGCCTCTTTTGTTCAGTCCCGAGGTGGTCTTCTTAGAAACATTTCACTGTATTAAGTTCTAACACAGCTGAAAGATTATATTTGGCAGGGGCTGGTCTTTTAGCAGACTGCTTCTAAGTGGATTTGTAACCCAAGCTTGAAAAGTCTCTTATAGAAAACAGGGACTTATGCTCAGGAGTTTTGACTATAAGAGGAATTCCCCCTTGCTGTCCACTCCCAAAGCAGAAGCCACTCCAGTTTCAAAAAGGATCATTTTCACCAGTTTAATTTAATTAAGATACATTGTGAAGTTACAGAGCCTACTTCAAAGTTTGCAAGGGTTTGGCATGGAACATGGGAATCCACATAGTAAACTTAAGCAGTGTTCTATCTAGTGCCTCTCCCAGGAGCTGCCAGTAGAAGATATCAGAGGAAGATGCACAAAGCTCAGTAGATGAACAGCATCATCCCAAATCTCCATCAGTCAGGAGATTTATGTTAGGCTGACTGAGATTTGTGTTAGGCTAATTTATACCCTTGCAGGCACAAGGGTTTTACCCATCCATATGGGATGAAGAATCCTTTTTTGCAGTTATATAAAGCTCTTGGCCTCAAAGCTTGGCAATGAGTTCCACAGATTTATTATACATTGTGTAACATGTTTTTGCATTGGTTTTACATTTGATGCCCTTCACTTTTGTTGATTTCCCCTATTTTTGAAATGGAAAACATAAGATGGGTCATGATGATCCACCTTCTTGGTACCATTATTTTGCATACAGCTCACATCCCCTTCTTCATCTACTATACTGTAAATAATTCCAGCAAGAGGCACTAAAAAGTGCAATCTGGGACATTATAAACTGAAGGGTTACCATCTTGAGACCAAAGCTACTTCAGAAGCAATTGCCTTCAAGTGTTTCTTGGGGGTGGAAGGGTGGGGACAGAATCCCATCATCTCAAGAAACATTCTGAAAAGTTACTTGAGAGACATGTTATTTTCACCAGATTCCAGGTCACCTCTTAAGTGCACACACCTCAGTCACAAATCTGAATCCCAAGGGCAATACAACATAGAATTTTACCTAGACTCTATTCCTTTTTTTTTTTTTTTT